CTCTAGTATAGACACTGCTGAAGCAATCTGTGTAGTGGCTAATATTGGGCCCCACCCTGTGCCTCAATCCCTGTCTTTTGTTCCAATCTCCTGGTAGGGCAGGTAGGTGGTGCAGTGGATAGAATTAGAATTTATCCTTTATGTCCAAGAGAAAGTACTGGTGCCACAGACAAATTCTTTTTTTTTTTTTAATTTTTAGGCAATTGGGGTTAAGTGACTTGCCCAAGGTCACACAGCTAGTAAGTGTCAAGTGTTTGGTCTGAGGTCACATTTGAACTCAGGTCCTCCTGACTTCAGGGCTGGTGTTCTACACAGCCACAGACAAATTCTAAAAAGTTGGGACAATTAACCCTTTTGTCCCCCATAGTTTTCATTTAAGATGTCTTAAAATATGCTCTTGCTTTGAAAAAACCCATTGTGATTCAAATGGAGCTACTTGACTATGCCTTTAAACCCAAATCACTCTGGCTTTCATTGATTGGTCAATAATAGGACCTAGCCCAAACCTCTCTGGATCACTGTTTGGGCTTTGATGACTCAGAGTGAGTGTAAATAGCAACTGTTTACTGTTCTGGCCAGAAACTCTGAGGGTCTTTCCATCCTGGATTGATTCTTTTGTGATGGCAAACTAGGGTGTCTTTTGTCTCAATTCTTAGTAGCCTTTAATCACTGAATGGGTGTCGCCTTAGATAAACATACCTGGGAAAGAAATTAGCTTAAAAAGGCCAAGGTCTCCCACTGCATCCGGGCCATCTCCATTCCTCTTGACTTATGTCTTGCCACTGGACTTCGATGACTCTGGAAGACAGAGTGAGGCTGATGACTTTGAACAGCTCTGCCTCACTTAAATGCATTTCACTTTTGCAAGTCAAGACATCAACCTTGTGATGTCATTTATCCTCTTGCAGAAAGAAAGATGAACAACGACAAGCAGTGGATAGAGTATTGCCTCTGGAGTCAGGAAGACTCATCTTCCTGAGTTCAAATCTGGTCTCAATTTTTGATTAATAACAACTTGTTATTAATAAATAACAAGTATTTATTAAAAACCAACTATATTTCTTTTTCTTTCTTTTTTTTTAGGCAATTGGGGTTACGTGTCTTGCCCAGGATCACACAGCTAGTAAGTGTCAAGTGTTTGGTCTGAGGCAAAATTTGAACTCAGGTCCTCCTGATTTCAGGGCCAGTGCTCTATCTGATGTGTCACCTAGCTGCCCCCCAACTACATTTCTGATATGCAGCTAGGTGACTCAGTGTATAGAGCGTGGGACCTGAAGTCAGGAAGATATTCTTCCTGAGTACAATTCTGTCCTCAGACACTTACTAGCTGTGTGACCCTGGCAAGTCACTTAATCCTGTCTGCCTCAGTTTCCTGTAAAATGAGCTAGAGAATGAAATGGCAATCCAGTCCAGTATCTTTGCCAAGAAAACTCCAAAAGGGGTCATGAAGAGTCTGAAATGACCAAACAAACAGCAAACCTGGTAGTTCACTGCAGTTTCAGACCTTGGTTTGCTTTTTCCTCATTTTTGCACAATCCTCATCCAGGAGTTTTATATCCCCTGCTGTGATTCTGACAAGCTCTAGCAGTATGTGGAATATGAGAATGCTAGTCAGGCCCCCTGTACATCCCTCCTAGAACCAGCCCTCAGGCACTGAGTTGGCACAGTCTCTTACTGTGGCTTCCACTACTCTGAGGAGCGCATGACCAGGCCCTACATCCCTTTGCAGAGACCGACTGGAGCTGATTCTGTTCCCCACTTCTGCCCTGGCTGGCCTGAGACATCGTGTGGCTTCAAATGCCCGATTATTGGAGTTGGTGCTGGCTTGGCTTCAGGTCTATTTGCAGGAGTTTGGGCTGCTCTCCTCCAATCACCTCTGGCCAGATTCCTGAAGTTTCTGTTGGTTTACCAAGCATGACCCTCTTCCCACCTCTTCCTCCTTTACCTGATCTGGTTCCTCGTCCCTCATTTGATCACTCTGACAGTATCCATACTCTTCTGGCCATCTTTTTGCACATTTTTCTACTGTGTAAAAATTATTTTTGTTTCTTTTTTAGATTTCTATATTGTTGGTACTTCTAGACCATTTTTAGATGTTTGTTGAGGTTTTCTGTGGGAGACCTGGGCTTCTCTGTGACCTTTCATGTTACCATCTTTACCAGATGACATCCTAGTCTCTTTTGAGGCAATCTCTTTGTTGGGACATAGTGAGCACCACTCTCCATCAGGGGAGGTAGGGAGGAGCTGGGGCGGGGGTGGGGTCGTGTGGTTATTTTCCCCCATCTCTTTTTCCCCAGCAGCAACTGTGGTGACATGAGCACATGGTAGCAGGAACCTGTGCTTGCCTAGGTGAGTCTGAGACTGGACTTCGAGTCCCTGGCTGCTCATTATGTTTTGTTTCTCTTTCCTCAAGCCCATACGAATGAACAGAAGCCCTGAGACATGGGTGTTTCCAGCAGTCACAGTTACTTTGGTATCTTAAGAGGTATAGAATCATTGAATCTGGTGCTTGTTGTCTGGTAGTAGGTGACTCCTACCATTATAAGCTTCTTAGAAAAGAAGCTAAGCACTTGTCAGGAAGATAATCCATGCATACCTGGCTGGACAGAAGATATGCACCTTGAGTTGCTAATCAGAAGATCTTGGTTCAAATCCTGCCTGTACAATCTTGGACAATTCACTTAACCTCTCTAGGCCTCAGTTTCCTCATCTGTAAAATGAGAGGGTTGGGATAAATGGTTTCTAAAGTCCATTCTGGTTCTAAATCTATGATTCTATGATCACATGAATGTTCAGCAGACCCATAAGTTTCCTGGGAATCTTTATTTCCTGGGAGAGTATAATGTGAGTAATGGGTTTCATTTTTTAAGCATTTGTAAATGCATGTTAACTCTGGGCAAGTCACTTAACCCTGTTTGCCTCAGTTTCTCATCTGTAAAATGAGCTGGAGAAGGAAATGGCAAACCACTCCAGTATCTTTGCCAAAAAAAAAAAAAACCCAGATGGGATCATAAAGAGTTGGACAGAACTGAAACAACTCAATAACAACAAAACGTGTGCTTATGGGTCTTGTGTGTTTTAGCAGTTTTTTTTTTTATAGTGGAGGAAATAAATAGTTGTCCCATAATTGAAATCTACTACTTTGTACAGTGAATGCTTTTTATTTTTAAATATATTTTATTTATTTTGTTAAATATTTCCTAATAACATTTAAAATTTCTTTGATAGTAAAAAAATTTTTTTTGAGTTTCAAGTTCTCTCCCTCTCTCCCACATCCTTCCCACATCCCTTGAGAAGGTAAGCAATATTTTATCAATTATACATGTGAAATCATGTAAAACATTTCCATATTAGCCATGTTGCAAAAGAAAACACACACAAGGAAAATAAAGAAAGGGTTTTTTTTTGCTTTGGGGGGGGGCAATTGGAGTTAAGTGACTTGCCCAGAGTCCCACAGCTAGTAAGTGCCAAGTGTCTGAGGTCACATTTGAACTCAGGTCCTCTCGACTCTAAGGCTGGAGCTCTAGCCACTGTGCCACCTGGCTGCCCCAAATAAGGAAAGTTTTAAAAAATATATGCTTCAATTTGCTCTCAGAGTTCATCATTCCTCTCTCTGGAAGTAGACAGTATTTTTTTTTATCATGGGTCTTTTGGAAGTGTCTTGGATCATTGTCTTGATCAGAGAAGCTAAGTCTTTCACAATTGATCATCGTTTGGACTGTTACAATCGCTGTTACAATGTATAATGTTTTCCTAGTTCTGCTCACTTCACTTTGTATCAGTTCATTTAAGTCTTCCCAGGTTTTCCTGAAACCATTCTGCTCATCATTTCTTATAGCACAATAAGATTCCATCCAATCATATACCACAATTAGTTCAGCCATTTCCCAATTGATGGGCATCCCCATAAAAAGAACTGTTATAAGTATTTTTGTATAAATAGGTTCTTTTCTCTTTTCTTTGATCTCTTTGGGATATAGATCTAGGAAGGGTCAGTGAATACTTTTTTTATTTTTTAAAGAAAAGATGTATTAATACCTTTAGGAGAGATTCTAGAGATATACCTAAATTTTGTTGTTGAGATTTTCCCTAGGACTTCAGGGTGGGGATACAATAAACTAGAGAATGGGAGAAAAAAGCTTGGTATGTTATTTTTTAGAACAAGCTTCTTAGGGCCAAATCTGAGCTCTGCATGAGTCTAGAGCGAGGGTCCTTTATGGGAGAGGAAACCTCCTTGTCCCTAGGCCATAGATGATGTTGAAATACTGTAAATTTCAAAAATCCCCAAAAGGAAGATAAACTCACTCTGATCTGGAAAAACCAAATTTCCTAGAGAAAAAGATAGTGAAATATATTCCCTCCTCCCACGTGACCTTACTAGGACAGAGTATTATGTACATTTTCAGAAAAGGTTTTCTATATTGGATATTTCTGCTTATTTTGTTTTTTTTTTTTTCACAAAGGATGGTTCATTCTTCAGGGAGGTAGGAAGGAAAGGATTGTCACGTAAAGACAAAAGATGTCAATGAAATGTGTTTGTTTTTTTTTTAAGGAAAAAGAAAACTCTTTCTACTCAACATTCTTATATAAACTTTATACTGCTCCATGACCGTCTCCCTGTGCTTCACACAGTACTCTGGATTTACAGCACAGCTTTAATAAGCATTTTAATGTTGTGTTGCTAAGCTGAATTGAATCCTCTGTTGCATAGCCCCTAGAAAAGGGGACTTTCTGAATATGCCAAAATAATTCTTGAATTCAATGAAAAGAGAAAGGTCCCTAAAGTCACACACAAAAAGAATCTCGACCCTGGTCCACATCCTTAACATTAATGCTTTCCTCACAAAGCCTTTCCCATTGTAAATACTTAAGAAATATTTGTGGAAATTAATTGAAGACTCATGCACAGGACTTTATACAAAATTTACTTTTAGGCAACAGATGGTTAGTCTGTATAGCCATTTATTTAAATAAAAGGTAGACAGGCAGATAGTGGTTCTGTTGAGCTAGTAGCTTGCAGTGCTCAAAGTCTCAGCCATCCATGCTTACTGCCTAGGCAAAAGAAATCCATACATCTCATGCAGATGGTCCATGGCTCCACGGCACGAACTCTGCCTAGAGAAGACATCCTCTGTTATGCTATTTAGAAGGAGGGCACTAAATAGTCAAAGAATTGTTTGAACCCCTCTCCAACCCACTCTTGAACCTAACAGGGTCCAGAATGAAAAACACAAATGCCCCATTGCAAGTTTGTTAAAGCAAAGATCCTCATAAAATTTCTCAGCTTGATTTGCACTAAATATTTTAAGGACTGTATTAGTGTCAGTAAGTGTGACAACAGTCTTCTATAATAAATCATTGACTGCTATTGCAGTCACCAGATGATTGAGACAAGAGATCACATCCAAGTGTCTGTGGATACAACTTTTTCAGTGTATTGATCAGTTGTGCTGACATTTTTTTCCTCCATAAAAAAACCAAAACTATCTATCATGGGATGTTCTCAGGGAGAGGGAAGAGGAGGGATACATAGAATACTATGGTGATGTAAGAAACAGAAAATATCAATAAAAACTTATTTTTAAAAATTTATTTATTTTTAGCTCTCAACAGTCACTTCCTTTTTCTTTTCTTTTTTTTTTTTTTGGTTGGGCAATGGGGGTTAAGTGACTTGCCCAGGGTCACACAGCTAGTAAGTGTTATGTGTCTGAGGCTGGTTTTGAACTCAGGTTCTCCTGAATACAAGGCCAGTGTTCTATCCACCGCACCACCTAGCTGCCCCTCAACACTCACTTTCATAAGATTTTGAGTTCCGAATTTTCTTCCCATCTTGTCCCTCCTCCCACCCCAAGACGGTATGCCTTCTGAGTTTTAAATTTTTTCCCCCTCCCTCCCCACCTCCCTCACCAAGATGGTGTGCAATCTGATATAGGCTCTACATATACATTCCTATTAAACATATTTTCACATTAGTGATGTTGTAAGGAAGAATTAGAACCAATAGGAGGAACCACAAAAAAGAGAAAACAAAACAGAAGAAAAAAATAGCAAATAGTATGCTTCAATCTGCACTCAAACTCCATAGCTCTTTGTTTGGATGTGGATAGCATTTTCCATCATGAGACCTTTGGAGATGTCTAGATCCTTGCATTGCTGAGAAGGGCTAAGTTTATCAGTGCTAGTCATCATACAACGTTCTCCTGGTTCTGCTCACTTCACTCAGCATCAGTCCATACAAGTCTTTCCAGGTTTTTGTGAAGTTTACCTGCTCATCATTTCTTATAGCACAATAGTATTACATTACATTCATATACCACAACTTGTTCAGCCATTCCTCAATTGATAGGCATCCCCTCAATTTCCAATTCTTTGCCATCACAAAAAGAGCTGCTATAAATATTTTTGTATATGTGAGTCCTTTTCCCATTTCTATGATCTTTTTGAGATACAGCCCCAGAAGTGCTATTGCTGGGTCAAAGGGTATGCACATTTTTATAGCCCTTTGAGCATAGTTTCAAATTGCTCTCCAAAATGGTTGGATCATTTAAAAAAACTTATTTTAAAACATATCTATGGATACATTTAATACAGAGCTATAACTAGGGTAGGGATGCTCAGGTTTTGCCTTAGGATGATAACATCTATCCATTCACTCATTCATGCATGGATGTATTATTTATTTTTATTTTTAGATTTATCTAACATTCATTTTTAAAAATTTTGAGTTCCAAATTCTCTCACTCCCACCAGCCCCTCCTCCATCCATTGAGAAGGCAAGCAATATGACACCCATTATACATGTGAAGTCATGCAAAACAGTTCCATATTAACCATGTTGCCAAAAATAAAAAAGCAAGAAAATAAAGTGAAAAAACAATATGCTTCAATCTGCACTCAAAATCCATCATTCTCTCTGGAAGTGAATAGCTTTTTTCAGCATGAATCCTTAGATCATTGGTTGATCAAAGTAGCTAAGTCTTTTATTGTTGATCTTTTTTACGATATTTACAATATTACTGTTACTGTGTACAATGTTCTCTTGGTTCTGCTCACTTCACTTTGCATTGGTTCACATAAATCTTTCTTAAACCATCCCCCTCATTATTTCTTATAGCACAATATCACAATCATATACCATAATTTGTTCAGCCATTCTCTGATTGATGGTATCGCCTCAATTTCCAAATCTTTGCTACCACAAAAAGAGCTGCTATAAATATTTTGGTACATATAGGTCCTTTTCCTTCAATTTCTTTGGGATACTGACCTAATAATAGTTTTGCTAGGTCAAAGAGTATGCACAGTTTTACAGCCCTTTGGGCATCGTTCCAAATTGTTCTCCATTTCCTTTTTTGTCACGGTACCAATCTGACAAGTGTGAGGTAGTACCTCAGAATTGTTTTAATTTGCATTTCTCTAATCAATAATGATTTAGAACATTTTTATGTGACTACTTGATAGTTTTGATTTCTTCTTAAAAATTACCTGTTTATATCCTTTGATCACTTAGCAGTTGGGGAATGGCTTTTATTTTTATGAATTTAACTCAGTTTCACATATATTTGAGAAATGAAGTCTTTATAAGAGAAACTTGCTGTAAAGTTTTCCCCTAGTTTCCTGCTTTCCTTCTAATTTTGGCTGCAAAACCCTTTTAATTTCATATAATCAAAACTATCCATTTCACTTCCCATGATCCTCTCTATTGTTTGGTTATCCTTGCCCTGTCCTGCCAACATGAATTTTATCTTTTGGGAAATTCAATTTCTGTCCTTGTTATGGTTATTTGCGACAGCTGGGGCCTTGCATACAGAGTGCAGCAAAATAGCTTAGGGCCACCCAGTGTGCTATATCCACATGAGCCACCAGGTGGCGACTGAAGTTTGCTAAACCAGCTCACTTCCATCTGCATGCACGGAAAGAATTGTCCCTAACTGGATCGTCTTTCAGGTTTTCATACAATTCACAAGTTTTCTTTCCTAGTGCTATAGAATACACACACACACACACACACACACACACACACACACACACACACACA